CGGGTTCAAGCGATTCTCCTGCCTCAGTCTTCTGAGTAGCTGGGATTACAGGCATCTGCCACTGTGCCTGGGTAATTTTTTTATTTTTAGTAGAGACAGGGTTTCCCCATGTTGGCCAGGCTGGTCTTGAACTCCTGACCTCAAGTGATCTGCCTGCCTCTGTCTCCCAAAGTGCTGGGATTACAGATGTGAGCCACACTTCTGGCCTGACATCACATTACTTCTTTCAATTGGCAAAAATTACAAATTAGGTAATGCCCAGCCTCAGTAGAAACATAAGGTCCCAGGCTCCAGGGACCTCTGGCACTGCTGGTGTGATTAGAGCAGTTCAGGTTAAGTGTGGTACAGTCTGATTAAAAATCAGACACAGTGCCTTCATAATTAAGGGAATTATTATTTTAATGTTGGGCATACATTTTCTAGTCTTTGTCTATCTTTTCTCTTACATTAATGAAATAAGAATAAGCCTTGAAGTTAATATTCTGCATTTTACACCTAATGTATCAGGAATACATTCAAATATTTGTATAGTACTTATTATTGTTAGCAAATCCTACATAGCTGAAGATTTTATTTGTTTACCTATTTTTGTAGCATTGATACCACTGCAATAACCATTTGTGGAACATAGTTCCTCCACTGTCCTCTGCTGGAATGTTTACTTTTAGATAAATTTCCAGGGGTATGTTATTAGAAATGAGAGTAAAAGGAATGTTTTGGCTCTCTATATTTGTAGCAATACTTGAAGGAGTTGATGTGGAAGATACTGGTGTCTTCTGTTGTTGCTAACCCTGGGATGATCCACGAGCCAGTCGGGCCACCTAACTTCTTTAGCATCCCTCTTCCAGTGTGTAGGAGAAAGCCATGGTTGCCAGGGCTCTTCTCACCCCCTCCTCCAAGCCATGCAAACAAATCCTCCCTTAAGCCCATCCAGACCCTGTAATGCCAGGGCCATGGCTTGTTTGCACCTGCATAGATAGCAGATCATGAGAGTGTGCCCAGCATATAATGCCTTCTTAGTGCATGTTGGGTGTATGAATAAATAAGTGAATAAACAAGTAAGTGAATTAATGAAAGAAAGCAGCCAGGAAGCGCTGCAACTCAGTCTGGTCTTGTCCCAGGGCAAACAGCCAGTAGGTCGCGCTGTTGCACCCACCGTTGCAAACCCTCAGAGCAGGTTTAAACAGAGCTCTCTGACTCTGGGACAGAGGAAATGGGAAACCTGTGTCTTCAAACCACGTCATTGGTTTGAAGATGACTTAAGGTGAAAAGAAATATATTTTAAGGTTATTAAAATAATCCTTAGTACTTGAAAATCTCAGCTAGCTTCTGAATGCTTTGGGAATACTTTCTCCATAGTTATTGCACACAAGCCCGTGGGGTGGGCAGGGCGGGTATTTGCTCACTGAGGTCCAAGAGTTTAGTTTCTCGGCTGGTAGAGGCAGAGCTGGATGCAGAGCCAGGCACAGAGCCAAGATATGTCTGACCCCAGTCCAGTGGGATCTCCTGCAAGCTGCGGTGTTTCCAGAGGCACACTTCAGTGTGTGGAGTGAAAGGAGAGTATCTGGACATGAGAAGAGCTGCTCTCAGCAGTGTGGCAGGCCCATTTTTGTTTCCTTTCTCTTTCTCCTCTTGGGGCAAGGCAGACACCAGGCACAAAGAAGGAAACAGGCCTTCCGTGAGTGCAGTAGCAATAAGGGAGAAGCCCAGAGCGGCCATCCCTCTTCTGTCTGCTGTGATGTTCCGGCCCAGTGTCCCTGGGGCTGCCTTCCCCAGGGCCTGTGTGTTGCGTATATGGGGTGGGGTGAGGGCAGCTGGAATTGAGGTGGGGACACTGTGATTGTGAGGGGCTGTGGGGCAGAGGTGGGTGGCTCTCGCAGGCCTCTTCCTGGACGCTTGCGCCCCCTCATCCTGCTCTCTTTTTCTTCCTGCACTTACATCAGCTCATGTGTGTATTTTCTCATTGACCATCTCTGGGAGTGGGACTTCATCTGACTTGTTCACCCCTGTCTCCCGGGTCCTGGCACAGAGGGAGCACTCAGTACACACCAATGGGCTGAAGGCGTAAATGATCTGGGGACTAGAGTGATGGTTATTGGCAGACAGCATCCCCCCCGTGGGCAGTAGCCATGAAGACCCTTCTTTCCCTCTCCTCACCTGCACTCTTTAGGATTGAACAGCGTTGGTTCAATGCATATTCTGGGAGCACAGAGAAAAAAGGGATGAAGTTCCACCATTATGAAAAAGGGGCTCCTGTAAGCCAGGTGAAGAAGGGGCAAGGCCCTTCCTGGTCAGCAGGGGTAAGGCAGGTGTGTGTGGGAGAGCATGCGAGGAGGGCGAGGGCTGGGGGAGATGGAGCAGGAACATTTGGTTGGGGCTCTGAGGCACTGTTCTGCTTGGGGACTGTGTGGGCAAAGGCAGGGGCTATGCAGGAAGGATTTACATAAAGCTGGAAGAGGGTTTGGGGAATGACTTTGAAGTTACATTTGTTTTGCAAGTTCTTTGTTTTTTATCAATATTTGCATGTTATTTGGGTAGCTGTAGGGAGGAGGGTTTTGGGGAGTTAGTGCACTCTCTCACCCCTCCTTCAGTCCTACTACTGCCCCTAGATACACAATCACCTCAAGTGACTTTCAGGTCACTAGGAATGGGCAAAGTCGAGATGAAAACCATTAGGTGCCTTTGAAACAGAAAATATTTTCGGTCCCCATCCCTCTCTGTAACCAATAATCAATGCAATATAAGTGGAAAAGTATAAAGAAGTCTAGAAATTCTTATTTTCCCCTCAACGACTAGTCATGCATGACATTTTAAAACTAATACTTCCCTGGCATCAGAGCTCCTGGGCTGTGCTTGATCAAACTCTTGGGATCGGGCTCTGAAGCACATCTTTAATCCGTATGGATTTTTGTCAGAGAATCTTCTGCCTAAAAGACAGTGTTCGGGGTCTTCCAAGGCACACTGAGCTACGTTAAGCCCCTCACACACACCCAAAGCACGTAAGGCAGAAGGAACCTGGATACTCTTTGTGGTTGATAGCGAGGCGGGCCACCACTGTGGCCCTGAATCCCCCTCTGAATCAGACCCTTTGTGATCTGACTCTGCAGCTCTTCCCATCCGCTAGTAGTGTCTGTTTCCCCAGCTCAGGAATCTAATTGGCCTTTTGACTTGCTTTGACCAATAAAAGCAGCAGAAGGGGCCAGTTATGAACGTAGGCCTCAGGACACCTTGCACACGGCTCTACAATTCGCATTGCCTTGGTAGCAGCCAGCCCACGATGGACCCGGAAGCTAACTGCAGCTGCAGGGATAAGCCTGGTGGGAAGGGCTGAATCGTGTGCACCCGAATTCCTAAGTGGAAGTCCTAACTCCCGGTGCCTCAGAATGTAACCGTATTTGGAAGTAGGGTCTGTGCATAGGTAATTAAGTTAAAATGAGGTCGTTAATGTGGCCCCGCTTCAGTAGGACTGGTGTCCTTATAAGAAAAGGAAATTTAGATATTGACACACACATGCACAAAGGGATGAACACACAAAGATGCAGGAAGAAGACGGCCATCTAGGAACCAAATCAACCCTGCCGATAACCGGATGTCAGACTTCCAGCCTCCGGGGCTCAGAGAAGTAACCTGAGGTTACTCCTCATGCACACACAGTATTCCTTCCTTCTCTGCGTCTAGACATGTGTCTCTCCCAAATACTCTTCTGCGTCGTAATCGCCATTCCTAAATCCAGCACCTGCTCATTTATTTATTTGCAAGAGGTAACACAGTAGCATCTTTAGAGCTAAAGTGAGCGTTCTATTTCATTCTCCAGGCTCCCTGTGCTCGGGTGATCTTCAGCCCGTCACAGGCCCTGGCTTGCATTTTTCTTCCACTGTAACAGGAACCAACAGGGATTTGCCCTATTGTGCAAGAAAATATACATTGACCGCCATTCTGGAAGCACTCAGGGGTTTCGGAAGGCATTGGCCATTGCCTGTGGAGAGGGAAGTCTATTTCAGCTCCTCAGCTGAGGGTGGTGCTCCCTGTGAATCCTGCGCTGTGGTCTGTGTCAATCTGTGCCACGCTGTCAGTGGTTCTTGGCTTGCAGGACAGCCTCTACTCTAAAAACGCTAGATTCCATAGTATCTGCCCCAAATGCTGACTCTTAGCTCCGTCTTGCACCCCAGCTTCTGGTCCCCGCTAAAGAGACAGAGTGGGGTGGAGATTCCATAACAGGAATCTCTGCCACCTCGTATGTGTGTAAAAAGCCAGAGCACAGTCCCTACTTGCCCTAGGCATAGAAGAGCAGGAGGCACTGGGCAGAAAGAGTGGACAGGAGTCGGGCACTGGGACCCCATAGGCCACTGAGCTACCTCCAGGGCTCAGGAGGCCGGCATGGTGGGCCGGCTCGGCGGGAGAGGAGGCAGAGAATACAGAAAACGGAAGTCGGAAAGCAACAGCAACAGAAACACTGCCAGTACCTCCACTGTCTGTGATGCTTTACGAGGCTCTGCCTGAGCTTAGCCTCAGGTGTCATTGTGAAACCCTCTGTGCCACGCGGGGGTTTTTTATTCCTGTTTTACAGAGACAGAGTTGAGTTTGAGGACAACCCAGTGACTCGCAGGAAGGCCCACTGCGAGTGAGTGTCAGAGCTGGGAGCTACACACTGTCCTTTGGCTCCCAGGCTGAGCTCTCTTCTGTATCCCACACTTTCTCCCAGGCTGAGAAATGAATCAGGTGGGAAATGAGCCCTGGGGGCAGGTGCCTCCTATGAGGCAGTTATCTACAAGGCCTATTTCTAGGGCTAACCATATCTGCTGTCCTAAAAGCCTGGCTCATTCCTTTCACTGTCTCCCTGGGAACTCGGTGCTTGTTCCAGGGAAACAACCCTCAGTCTGCAGAGATACTGGAGGATGTCTCAGTAAGTTAAAAAAAAAAAAAAGAAAGATAAGCATTTCCCCTGAGTCCGTATTATTTTGATCCTCTCTCTGATGCTCAGATTTATGACTTATTTCTAGACCCTGAGCTGTTGTCAAAACACAGCTTAACCCCCATTCTCTGGGCCTGAGACCCTGCAGCCCCCACGCTGCTCGACTTCGCTGCCCAGCTTCGGGTCTTACCTGGAGCAACCTGACCAACAAGAATGCACAAGGCCAGGAGCCGAGAACAGAGACTCCAGATGGGGAACAGAAGGAAAAGGTATGTGCCCCGCTGAGACCATGAGGCTGGCTGGAAGAGCCTCTGTTTACACTGCTTCTGGCTGCTTACACAACAGATCTGCAAATGTTGCCTGTTATGAGACTTAATTTTAGAGAATGATTCTTATCTGCGCAGTGAGTGCTTTCCAATTGAGCGGCTCCGTTCCTACCCTTCTGCTGGCCAGCCACACCTTTAGGTGGGAACGGCCTCAAATTTAGCTCCAAGGCTGCACGCTTGGCCCACATACCTGACCACAGAGTTCAATGGGCCTCAGGGAACACAGACAGCCAGGGCCAGAAAAGGGATGGAAATGTCTGTCAACTTCTCGTTTTAAGAATTTGAAGGTGACCTCTGTGATGGCCCAGCACAGAACCATCCTGCTTGGTGCTGACTTCTGCAGTGAGAAATGAGCTGATTTCTCACTGCAGAAGTCAGCACCAGGTGTCCACCTGTGTCTCAAAGCCAGATTCTAGGACAGCTGGTGACAGACAACTCAGCAAGGGGAGACCAGGGGCCCAGGGCAGGTCACTGCAGGAGGAAATCCCACACACCAGAACCTGCTTCCCACCATACATATGCAGATGCACACACCCATAGCTGCACATGTATGTGTGCAATCACACGTGCACACGCACACACATGCATACCCAGTCACACTGGAACATGCACACATGAACATGCATGCATGCCGGCACACACCTACATGCACACACACCCCATACACACCTGCACATGCACACCTGCACACACCTACATCCGTATGCACCCTATACACTCACTCCTGCACATGTGCCCCTGCACATATACACACATGAACACCTGCACACACCTACATGCACACACACCCCATACACTCACACCCACACATGTGCACCTGCACATATACACACATGAACACCTGCACACACCTACATGCACGCTCGTACCCTCAAATGCAGATGCATACACATGCACACTTGCACACACTCACACACACACTTGCACATGCACACATGTCGATACATGCACACCTGCATAAACCTACACACACACATTCACACTTATACACTCACATACATGCAGATACACATGCACACCACACACTCAAGCATGCATGCACGCACACCCCCATACACTCACACAGTCACATGCACACACATGCACACCTGCAAACACCCATGCCCACACACGCACACACACATACACATGGTCTGAGTGTCTATTTTCCCATTTACTATTAGGAGGGTATCTGCAGAGGGCATCTCTGTCTCCTGCAGGAAACTGTTTTCACCTGAGTGAATCAGGGTTAGCCTGTGACTCCTTCTATTAACCTGGGAAGCTTTCTGAATCCAACCTTTGGGGCCAAGTGGAAACTTCTTTGGGCTTTCTCATCTCTGCACCAGCTGGAGACCCAGGCAAGAGGGGTTCTGCTCGGGCCTGGGGCTAAGAGTTCTTCTCTCTGGCCAGATCTATGTCCCTTCTCATTAATCATTCTCTGGGTTCTTATGACCTAAGAATTACTTGCCCCCAGCCTTCATCTAGGAACTTTGGAAGTTTCTTCCTTGGGTTGGAACCCCGAGGTGAGACTATGCTCCCAGGGAGCGTCATAGGCCCGAGTGGTGGCTGCTGTGAGATGGTGACACAGCTTAGAGATGCAAGCCAAGATGTCCTGTGTGGGAGTGCATGAGACCCTGGAGGCGGCGGATAGTCTTGGCTGTAGGGAGATAAAGGGGAGGGGCTGCAGGCCAAGGCCCTGCTCTCTTCGTGCAGTCAGATTCTGGTGTGTGACTTGCGGGAGTCCAAGGATCCTACATTTTTCCTGGAAGTCCAGGTTGCCTTGGGAGGATAGAACATGTTTTAGTCAACAATGTGATAGTTTGATTTATAGTTGTTAAATATTAGTCTCTTGGCATGTTTCTTTGTGTTCTTCCCAGAGTCCTCAAATATTTGTGGTGGGACTGAGCTGCCTGCAGGGAAAATCACTCATCCATCCCAGGGCAGGACCGCAGCTTCTGCCTGCATTGACAGTAGGGCGCAGGCTTCTCAAATCATGGGTGTTTCCTGAGGCTGTAAACCACGGTGACTTTGTGCTCTTCTCCTACAACCTTCTCACATGGCTTCTCCCTCTGATCGGCTGCTAAGTCTTTCCACGCAGCCGGTCGAAGGGAGACAGACGTGTTTCTAACTGCCCGCATTCTGCTCTGCTGCATTTCTCACGGTTTAGCTGATCTCTGAACTGGATCCCATCTCAGGGAGCCAGAGAAGCTGGCTTCTGCACTGGAGGAGAACCACTGCCTTCAAAACAGCCCCAGCCCTTCATGTCTTGTTCCAGGAAACTTTCCCCAAGGGGAGACCACAAGTTAAATCTTCTCCACCTAGTTCTTTCACTATCTTGTTTCAAGAACAAACAAGTCAAATTGCAACACCCACTGAAAACAGTGGAGCAGGATGGAGTTTGCAATGCCTGCCTGCCTGGGAAGCCACGGTCCAAGCACCTCCATAGGCTTTCTACAACCTTCAGACAAAGCTTTCTGGACTTGACCATGGGGAATCCATCAATTCCCTGCTTAGTCTTAAATGTCTTCCTTATGCTCCTTGGTCTAGAAAGAGCAGTGAGTTTGGAGTACTCCATCTGGCCTGTGAACCCCAAAAATCTGCGACAGGTTAATTTAGAAAGTTTATTTTGTCAAAGTTGAGGTTGTGCACCTGTCAAACTGCCTCAGGAGGTCCTGAGAACATGTGCCCAAGGTGGTCAGAGCACAGTTTGGTTTTATACATTTTAGGGAGACAAAAGACATCAATCAACATGTGCAAGATGAACATTGGTTTGGTCTGGAAAGGCAGAACAACTTGAAGCAAAGGCGAGAAGACTCAAAGCAAGGAGGGGCTTCCAAGTCATAGGAAAGGCTTCCAAGAAGGCAAATGGTTGTGTTCTTTTGAGTTTCTGATGAGCCTCTCCAAAGGAGGCAATCAGATATGTATTTATCTCAGTGAGCAGAGGGGTGACTTTGAAAAGAAAGGGAGACAGGTGGCCCTAAGCAGTTCCCAGCAGGAACTTTTCCTTTAGCTTAGTGATTTGGTGGGGGACCCCAAGATTTATTTTCCTTTCACAGGTCCTAGATATTTCTGCTGAATTCTCCATTCTGCAGATGTGGCACCTGGGTTCAGTGAGGCTTCTGTCATCCCCTAGATTTGAGTTTTTGGTGTGTCGGGGGATATGAGATTTTAGGATGCTGTGACTGCTGTGATAGAATGAGATTTTTGCCGGCTTTAAAATACAGCATCAGAGACACAGTAAGGCCAACGGATCAGGACATGGTGCCATTGAAAAGGGAGTTTTTTAGATTCACAGATACCGGGAGGGGCACACAGAACATGGGGGCCACACGGGGAAGCCTGGGGTTAGGAACTAGATGGAGAGAGAAGGAACTCTGGGTGAGACCCTTTCTTGTGATTTCCACGGGAAGAAATGAGAAGACAGGGCAAGCAGGTTTGGGATTTGCTAGTGTAAATAATTTCAGCAGCTCTGGGGCACAGAGGCTGTCCCTAGTCATCTGGTACCTGGCCCTGGGGAGATAAGGGCTGGTGGATAGAGACCTGAGCGTGAGAGCCTCCTGAAGGGGGCAATTGGGGGTGTGGGCTCTGGATTGATTGGTTAGCATCTGAAAGGGGTGCTCCTGGGAGAGTTGCCTAATATCTCTAAGAATTGGCTAACTCTGAGGGGGCAAACCCCCAGATATCAAGGCATGAGAATACAGACAACAAGAGATCCACTGCTAATCCACTGTTCCAACATGCCTTTCCTCAGCTGTGGCTTTGCAGTGGCTCTCAGCAGGTGAACTGTCCTCCCTGACCCGCTGACACAGGGCCTGACAGTGTGCCTTGTGTTGACCATCAGGAAGCAGTGGCTACGTACCTATTTCAGAAAGGACATCGTGTGTCTCAGCTCAGCCCACAGCCCTCAGCCCTCAGCTCCCATGGGGAGAGTGTGTCATAGGCAGCTCCTGTTCACTGGGCATGTGTCCCCGAGAGGGCCACACACAGAGCAGCCTGAGCCCAGTCCAAAGCCGGCTGCAGAGGCCATAGAACCAACTGTGAATGGCAACATGAATGTCTGTGGTTTCCAGAATCTGAGATTTGGGGATGTTTGTTCTTGCAGCAAAAGGCGATCAGTACAGACACCTGGGATTTTGAATGTGCGGGAATCTCCAAGAGCTGCAGGGGCTTCAGATCTATATTACAGGCTTCACCTTTTCCTGCCACCTTGAAAACTGCTCTTGGTCCTATGGGACTTCCAGACTGCAGGAGGAGATCTTCGAGGCCGTCTTTGTCTTTGGCCTCACATGACTCACCCATGCCAAGTTTACCTTGCCTGTTTTTACCTCCTAAATGTTTCTCGAATCTTTCTCCTCTCTGTTCTTAGTATCTTAGGTCTGGTTTCCATTGTTTCTCCCAGGATCAGTACAAGAGGCTCCCACATGGGCTCCCCACCTCCAGAATTGCCTTTGGACCTCACATCTCTACTCCACCCAGCTGTTAGAGGGATCCTTCTAGGATTAGTGTCCTCGGGCTGCTGTAACAAAATGTGAGAAACTGGGTGGCTCAAAACCACACAAATGTGTTGCCTCACTGTTCTGGAGGTCACAAGTCTGAAATCCGGTGTTGGCCAGACCATGCTCCATCCCACAGTGCTGGGAGAGGATCCCATCTTGCCTCTTCCAACTTCTGTGAATGGCTGGCAATCCCTGCATTCCCTGGCTTGTAGAGGTATCATGTCCAGTCACACGGCCCTGTATGTCTTCACATCGTCCTCTCTCTGTACGCCCCTCTCTCTGGGTCCAATTTCTCCTTTATATAAGGACACCAGTCCTATTGGATTAGGGTCCCCCAATGACCCCATTATAAATTGATTATCTATGCAAAGACCCTATTCCCAAATAAAGTCACACTCTGAGGGACTGGAGTTAAGACTTGAATGTCTCTTTTCTTGGGGACACAATTCATGCCATAGCATAATGTAT